TGGGCCGTGTCAGGCCACCTGCCCCTGCCGGTAACCCTCTCCGGCCCCGCTCAGCCTCCCGTCTCCTCGCAGACGCGCACGTCCCGCAAGATGGCAGGCCGTCGGCCGAGAACGTGCCCGGGGTAAATCCTCGGTGACGGGCGTAGGTACAAAGTCTATCCTCTGCGCCCGTCTGACAGCTCCCGCTGCAAGTTTAATGAGCCGCCGCTCCGGTAACGGCGGCGAGTCCTTTTGATTAAAATTCACGGTCGCCTACAAAGAGTGATGAAGTCATAACTTTAAAGATAAACCCATCAATCGGCGCCTCGCTTGACGGCTCGTTCTGCACGGAGAAGCGGGTTAAAAATAAACCAGCCTCATGGCGGATCGCTAAGCTACACCTTCTGTCCCGCTTTTAATTCCCGACATGATATAAACCTTAGTTACCGAGCATGTCAACATGCGGTAAACACGGTAAGTGCAGTAAACATGCCCCCACGGAGCTGGAGGATTTGCACGGCCTGGCTACGTCAGAGGCACCTGCACAGCTGCAGTCCGGCGCATGCGCAGGTCAGCGCGCCGCCTTGCCGTGCGGCCGCAGTCACGCGCAAAAAGCAGCGTAAAGCTCCGGTGTCGCAGCTGCTCGCCTAAGTTTACCGAACTGCAAAAGCACGCGGCCAAAGAATAAATCGGGATCCCAGCCTTAACCAAAAACAATCAGCGGGCTAAGATTCAAATCAGCTGTTAATTAATATCAGATATCTAATATTTTTGAAATATTTTACATGCAATTAACGCGTTATCAAGAATCCTGTTGCGTCTTAAAAGATTATTCTAGATTAGGTGATTTTATGATCGTTCAGTGGTTTAAGCAAGACCGTATTCAGGGAATCAACAATGGGGGAGGGGGGAACCAAAGCCGTCATTACAATGGATGGACATCTGAATACTATATATATTATAATTACTGCCTTGGGTTTAAGTGCTGCTAGGCTGAGTTTACAATGAGTGACCAGGATCAAGTACAAGTTAGAGTCGGAATAAAAGATAAGCACGAGTTTTAAAGGCATTGCAAGATCCTACAAAGAGAGCTATTCAGATCAAAGAGATGTGCAAAAACGTAAGAACATGCCGGACACACGAGGGACCAGCCGATGAAGTGGTCCCGGAACAGGCGGGTCTTCAGGGTGGAAGGAGACAAAATTTAAATAACACTTTCATGAAATTTTGTATTCTATAGGTTTTTGGTTATATTTCAAAGAATAAAATGACATTCTGGGGCTTTGAGGGGCTCTCCGTGTTATCATTTACCGGCACGCGGAAATGTTATTGTCAAACAGATGGGAACACTGACAGAAGCTGAATGGCCGGATGCAAGGCGCCCTCTCACTACCAGTCGTGATGGGTGCTGTTCATCACCACGAGATTTACTGTTGTTGGATAACGAGATGTTGTTGGCTGGCTCTGAATCAGATACCTAATTTTTTTTTATGGTACAGGGAAGTTGAAGGCATTTTATATCTCCAGCCTGAATGCCAAGCACCCGGTTTTTTCATCATCATCATCACAGCCTGGTTCTTAAACCATCCACCATTACGCTCTCACGTGATGTTTCTTTGCAACACAGTGTGACACTGCATCTTATCAGTGATAAACAGCGCTGCCGAAGGAGACGGGCCAGGAGTTTTTTGATCCGTTGTGCTGTGTCTTTGGTGCCATCTGTTGCCCAAGCATGGGACTCCACCTTCTGCACTTTGGGATCTCCGCAGTGCACAGCTTTCTGCGGTTTTTTTCCACATCCTGCAACAAAGCTCATACCAAATATGCAGAAATAGATCAGTTTTGTTGTGTATGAAACCTATTTCTGAACACCACAATGTGGAAGAAAACCTTGTGGATTAATATTTCTTTATGTCGCTAGCTAAATATCTTATGTAATGTCTTTCATTTTTGAGGAATGTAACTGGGGGAAAACTGGACAATATGTGCCATGTCGTTGGGTAATTCTAGATAGTAATCAATTAATTGCAATATCTCTCTGGGTAAAAATCACAGGCTTCTTTGCATATTTCTTGAACCTCTGAATTGCTTGTTTTTTCTAGATATCACTCTGAAACGGGCCAGACTGGCTTAATTGCTGTAATCAGTGTGTTCAGGTGCTTAAGTGCTCAGGTAGTCTGGTGCTTTCTGTTCTAATTGCACTTAATTTGTACAGAATTTATTATCATCTTTAAATATTTACTTGCAGTATCTCAATATTCTGTTTGAGTATCTCATTTATGTACCATCTACTTTGTAAATCTGTTTGCACCTTGTCTGTTTGGCATTATATGTATGTTCATCTGCATTGTGTTCTTGCTGCTGAATGCACCAGAATTTCCCCCTGGGACCAATAACTTTGATCTTAATCTTGAGGTAAGTAGAACCCCAGGAAAGGCAACTTACACCTGGGGTTGGTATCATAAAGCAGGATAACTTAGCTGGATAACTTGTCAGATTTAAGGTACCCCAGTGGCCCTTCTCTTTGTTCACTGCCATTTAGCCCACACTACCTTAAATCTGACAAATCATCTGGCTAAGCAAGAAATCCTGCTTCATGATAACAGGCTCCCAAAGGACCAAATGTCTTTGTGGCTGAACAGAGCTTGAGTGTAAGATCTGTTAGCGAATGGTAGGTCATGACATTTGGAGATCCACTGCAGCTGTGAGAGAGAGAAAATGGGAACCGCTGAAGTACTAGTGTTGGGTGACTCCTCAAAATAGGCTCGGCTGTGAGTGATGTAGACAAATTAGGGATCGTTTTCCTCTATGTGGTGACAGTTGATCTCGCTGTGTTGAGAGGACAGTTGGACCGGATGAGTGACTTGAATCTGAAGCATGTATGCAGTAGCCTAAATATAATAGCACAGTGAAATCAAAGGTCTGCTTCTTTGGTAAATTTAACAGGTGCATTTCAGTTTAAAATGGATTTGATATGCAGGTTATGCAGAAGTACATGCAGATAGCTTTCTGGGGGTTAGAGTGGGGATACAACCATCAATATTTCTAGACGCAAAAGTAATATCAATAGTCTTATTCAAATTGATCCTGAGATACATTGTAATACATCGTATCTTTCAGCTATTGCGCAAATGAAGCTCAGGTCATGGGAAACACAGAAGCACAATTCATCTGCACCCCCTCTGTGTCTTACAAATACATGATGGTATGATCCGCACTGGCTAAATCAATAAGCCCAGCTTCCATTCCAGTTAACTGTATAAGGTGGGGGGGGGGGGGGCACAAGCTACCAGGCAGGGGCACCCTGGGTGGTAGGCCAGAGCTTTTTAAATTCATGTCTATGAAATACCCAGATAAAGAAAAGCCGCAACAGTTTGTTCTTTAAAAGCTTTAATCGTAATATGAAGACAGTTCTTCTAGGATAGAAATTCACCTCACTATATTGGTTTCTCTGCATGAGATCTGAGAAGTCTGGAGATGAGCATCTGTACCCCGTTAAAGACATCAACCACTCAGTGAAGAAGACGTCTACCAATGCATTATATAACGGAACTGAAGGGCTAGGTCAAATGGATGGTGATGTCATCTTCCAAGGTCACATTTACAGAAAAGGCCATATAATACTATCTGCAAAAAATACACATTTCTTTCCGTTGAGGATCTGCACACTCTGGCACCAAGCTGCACACACCAGTGATTTAGCTGTAGCAGGGAAGTTTGAGCTCAGCATAGACTCACCAAAAACAGTGATGGCGTAGCTTTTCAGTAGTAACAAAAGTTTTTTTTTTTTTTGTAAAAAGCTGCTAATGTTATTCTCATCGGTCATTAACAGCAAGTCAAAATTCAATATCGGGCACCTGTTATTTAACCTGAGCCAATAACAGCCATGTTTCACTTACACGTTCGGACAGCAGGAATCCCCACTGATTGGCTAAATTCCAGGAACTGTGTGGGACTGACAGCCATGAGAGCCAATCACTTCAGAGGGCGAGAACTACCATACAGACCAAATGTGAATCCACTAATGACAAATGGCATTCTAAAACAGTTGTGTAACCTTTGTAGAATAAAGTGAGAGTATCTTGAAGATCATGTGTTTTACATGCTGTACATGTATTTGTCACAGCACATTATTCTCCTGCAGGCAGAACTCTCAGGCTTAAACCATTCCCATAGAGATTTCACAACACAAACAGGTTCCAGACACCTACTGTGCTTGTAAAAGTACATATACACCTGGAAAATGGGGGGGGGGACTGCAGACAGAGCACATAATCAGTTTACAACTTACAATTCTGTTTAGCTTCAATAAAAAAACATAATAATAAAAAAAACATTCCATCACATACTTCAGTCATGAGACCCATGACATCATTTCCTGTTCTTACAAAAACAATACAGCATCCAGAATGTACCTTCTAGCATTATGACAGTTGCTGATTTTACGACAGTAGTAGCAGCATCAACCTGTCACTTTCCGGAATCGATGGAACGTGCTTATGGCTCCTCCAATAACCCTTTACCTTCACACACATGGAAATAAAACATGCAATTTAATTTTGACCTGTGTGAATCACGCAGGGCTCTGCCAATAGAGGGACTGTGCAAGGGCAACAAAAATACATTCAAATTACTACCATGGAGTTCGTTCAGCCTCTTGTTTTTAACTGGTTTAGGGTACAAGCAGAGACAGCTGCAGCACTGAATATCAGGCCGACTCTTTTCATTAGGGGGCCATCTCCGCCCCAAAACCACCAGACCTCCAGCCTGACCTATGGATCACCTGGGCAGGATCTACTGGCGCCACCTTCTGGTCAGTGACAAGAAATGATGCAAGTCTGCACAGTTCCATCTGTGTTTCTGTGTTTCAGCAGAAAAGCCCTTTGATGGCCAAGTGAGACGATGGCAGGGAGATGAAGGGGCAGGTATCAGGCAGTGAAAGGGTTAAGGAAGGAAAACCCAGAAGTAAAAGTTTAAAAGGAAATGGAAACAAGCATAGGGTCAAATAATAACAAAATAACTCAGTTAGGAACCAAACTTTATTGAATTAAAATAAATTCTGTCATAGTATGTAAATATGAACATTTACAAATATGACAAGGCAGCTTGAGAATATTCTAAAATACACAGCTACTGATTTAAAGTAGCTTCAAAATTGAGAATTTTAGTCAATTTCTATATCTGATATTTTGATGGATTATTCCTTGGTGTCAGTCAATCTGTTAAATATTTTAAATAAAACTGATATAAATATAATTGCATTAAATAGTACAAAATGCTGGATATAGTAATTCTGAAATGCTTATTTCAGGAATAAATGTAAGACTGCATCCAGCATTTTCATACTAAATTCAAATATATACTGACATTTACAGCAGTACTCATTGCATTCCTGCGCAAAAGTGATGCAGACAAATTGGGCAGGGAGCGAAAATTAATGCAGTGCTAAGCGGCTTTGAGATCTCACAGGCCACTGCGCACCAAAACATTTCACCCCATACAGTTCCCAAAAACTGGAAAACACCTTCAGAATCAAGAGTTCATCTTTCAAAACAATAAGAAATATTATCTAATTAATAGCAAATTAAAATGACACCAAATTCCCGAACAAAACTGCTTAAGGTCTTTTGCATTCATTTCTTGATACCCCTCTTTCAGTCAAACACCCAGTGCAGCAAACACTACACATCACTTCGGACGGATCCCATCTCCCTACAGCTGCCTGCAGAAGACATTTAAACCTGAGTCCAAAAAAAAAAAAACACAATTAAAAGCCACGCTTGATCATAGTGCAGCCCAATATAGGCCTTTTCTGTTCATAAAGGGGCTCACAGCACTGTTACGGCTGAACACCAAGCTGATGTCCACACCCCAGGAGACATGCCATGATTTATCTGTAAAGAGTAACATTTTATAAAGAAATCCGGACGGGAAGCAAGCAGTGCCATCAAGGGGCTGCATACCACTGGCTAAAAAGCAAATCTTCTCAAACACCAATGACACACATACGTCCAGGGGGCGGGACTTCCTGTCCGTCACGCAATCACTGCCAAAAAAGCATGAAGCAATGCTTCAGCTGCCAGTAGCCACAAGTCTCAAGTTACTCCCAAGAGAACAGCTCGATTGTTGAGGACAAAGCAGCCTTGTGCTGCTTGGGTTTACCCAATAACACCTAAGCAATACAAACAGATGATTTCCAACACATCAGGCCAGACCAAACGAACCGATTACAGTTCTAACATCACAACTCCTACGACAAAGTGCCCTTTCACCTTTGGTAAATCAGAGACTCGGCGCTACAAACCCCTCCCTCGCACGTACACAAAACGGATACACAGGTACATGCGAGGAGAAACCCTGCAGTGGCAGGAGAGTCTTCTCATCCGTCTCATCCAAGCGTGTCACTTTGCCCCAAAAGTAAGTGTGTTGGGATAGACAGCAATTAACACACTGCACAATGGACAGCCTAGAACAGGGCTCTTCAAATCTGGACCTCGATTCCAAATCCAGGCCTTGTTTTCAGTTCTCCCAGGTAGTTAGTTTAATAATTACTGATTCTGATTGGTCAGAGGCTTCACACCTGACTGACAGGTAAAGGAGGGCTGGAAAACCAGCAGTGCTCGGACCTCGGGGACCGTGATTTGAATAATCATTAACTACATTTAATGATTGACGATTAGATCTGATGTCAGAAGCAAAATAATAAATAAGAGGTGATCAGCCAGGTCCAAGCACCGCAGGCCAGCAGGACCTTCTGAGCAGATCAGAGACACAGATTAATGAGCGAGCATATGGTCCACGTAGCGTCGTATAGCATGTAAAATGGCTGCCGAAATCCTATTGGCTGATGCCGGTCATGTGCTTTTCCAGTATCATTACATCACTGTACATATTGACTTAGGCTAAGACGAAGGCGGTATGGACTGGATTGGTCCAGTGGTTTTACAAATACAGATGTCATAGCACCCTCTATGGATGTAATCACACCAGTTTTGCTGCACCTCCTTCGATATGCCTGCCAATGTTGGCCTGAAGACTGGCCAAAGCATTCGAGTTAGAGCGGTTGGTTTAAGATGGGCGTGGTGAAGGGCGTGGCATTTTGGGCGTCACTGGGGGTCACAATGCTTATGTAGCTGGCCCCACTAGCTTTTCTTCAAATGTTTTTTTGCCCTAAAATCCAATGGGCAGCTAAGGCCATAAAAACTAGAACATTTTGTGGGGGCGTGCAGAACCCCACCTACTGGCAAGCAAAGGAGGCCTCTTTTGTTCTGGCCAATGTGTCACGGACAGCAAGTCATAGAACCAAATTTCTACATGCTTGGACCCCTAATCATAATTTGCATTTATGGAATGATGATAATGATGATATGATGATACACTATGCAGCAAAATGTTTAAAATGTTTTCATTCCCAAATATGAATATTAATGAAAGGCAAACAGACTCAAACGTTACTATCCATCCTTAGCATTCTGGCTTAAATGTATTAATCAGATTTATCAGATTGGAACTAAACATGGAGGTGCACATTTCCTGCTCACACGTGAATTGTACATGTCTGTCTAATGACGGGAGTCCAACGCGAGGCCTCATTTGCGCGGCATGCTGTGACTCGGTCTGGCCCCCTAAGGCTCAGACACGGACTCAGCTCTGCACCTCCACAGCCTGCTCCTCCTTCTGCTTCGCCTTCTCTTTGGCCTTCTCCTTCTCCACCAGTATCTCCTCCTTCTGCAGCATCGCCATGATTTCAGCCATCTGCGTGGTGGAGATGTTTATGTCCTCCTTGTCGATCAGCTCCACCACCTATGGGACGGAGAGATAAACATGTGACCTGGGGGGCGGGGCCTAGGGTTAGCCACACCCCTTAAGTGCATGGATCCCTGATGTTCCGGGTGGATGATCTGAATACAGATAGAGAGTGATTTCTTTATGCAGGCCGGGTCAGGGAGATGAAGGGAGCTTCATTTGGCACCACTAAAGTGATCAATACCGTAAATCATCTTTTTTGCTCAAATCACATACAGATATTTGACCTGAGAACTTCATACGACAGCAGCTCAGTTCCTGTCATAGAAATAAATAACGTACGTAAAATGCAACGTTTCTCACGAGTCTACATGATCATCAAAAGCCTTACCTTAATGACGTCATCGATGTCGATCTTGCCATCCTTGTTTTCGTCCAGCGCGTCAGCGATGCTCTGCAGCTTTTGCTCCGGAATGTTCTGGATCTGCCGCATGATGGTGATCAGCTCGTCGATGCTGATGAGGTTCTCCCTAAAGTTGAAGTACAAGCTGCATACAGGAATTGATCACTGAATTTGACAGAGAGTAAGATGGTGGTGTGTGTTAAAGGGTAATTGGGGGCGTGGCCCAGAGTCCTGCACGGGTTTGGGTACCAGCGGTTATCTGACAGGTGACCCGCAAATTTTGATGAAACGGGTGAAAAATATCGTGGGCCAACAAAAAATACCCTAGGGCCCCCCTATTCAAATCTGGCCCTCGATTCCAAATCCAGGCCTTGTTTTCAAGTCTCCCAGGTAGTTAGCTTAATAATTTCTGGCTCTAATTGGCCAGAGGCTTCACAACGGGCTCTTAGAAAGCTAGAAAACAGCAGTGCTCGGCCCTTGAGGACCGTGATTTGAATAGCCCTGCCCTAGGGCAATGTTTTAGTGACACACAAAAAATTTCTGCATTGAAGATAAAACGTAAAATCCATAGCAGTTTATGCCGGCACGCGCATTCCCAGAAATCTCTCCCGCTCTCATTTTCAAAAAACGCACGCGATCTCCAGCAGCTGTTCGAAAAGAAAACTCGCAAGTGGAGAGTTTAAAATTGTGGCCAATAACTCCACTAAAATCAAGTCCGACGTGGGAGAATTATGTCAGATAACGAAAACAACGTCGTTAAATGCTTCCCTGCGTGTAAAACATGCCTGAAAGTTTTTGTGTATGATAGCCGCAGATGTGGAACTTCATCGCTTAAGAAGCATGTGGAGAACTGTGCTAGGTCTGTCGCATCCCCGCATCACAGATCTGAAGGATAAGCGTGGAGGTCCTGAGCAGTGCCACCACCGCACCCCCACCCGGGAAGCGAGCTCGAGTGACAGATGACACACTGTCAGACGGGGAAGATTCCAGTGATGAGACCTTGCAGTATCAGGATGAAGTGGCTGCTTACATTGATTACAAAACACCTAAAAGATGTCTCTTTTGACGTCTTGTCTTGGTGGAGAGAGCATGAGTGTTTGTTTCCCAATATTGGTCATATTGCGAGATCTACTCTCGCCACCCCGGCATCCAGCGCCGTGAGTGAGTGAGATTTCTCATGCGCTGGACATGTCATCCAGGAGCGAAGGAGTCAGCTGAGGCCATCAACTGTGGACGATATCCTTTTTTTTTTTTTTTTACACAGTAATATAAAGCACCGGACAGTGCACGCTATAAGCTATAAAACCCGATACTGTACAAAGTAGCCTAATGTACATTTTATATAATTTTAGTTTTATTAACACATTTGATTGTAAGCTGGTAAGGCTATGTGTGGGCATGGCAATATCAAAATTGAGATTGGAGGTAGGCTACTACTTGTTTATTAGCCTGTTATTAAGCAGCGTTTTCATTTGGCTATGCCTTTTCAACTGATGTTGCACATGTCACTGGTCGTTTGTTGTGGCAATAAACTTTTGTCTTTAATTTTGGCTATCTGACCGATTTTCATTCGGGTGCGGGTCGGGTGTCGGTATTTATTTATAGCGGGTCGGATCGGGTGCAGAATTTTATTTTATTTCTGTCGGATAATGGTTCTCATACGGGTTTAAGTATGACGGGTACGGGCGGGTGTGGTTTGTCAAAATGAGACCCATGCAGGACTCTGGTGTGGTCCCTCAGACCATGCTGGCTTGTGATTGGTAGTCTCACTCTCCACAATGATTCGCTGATTTGATCTCTGGAGAAAGTTTAATAGCTGTGATTTGTAAAGAGATATAATTTAAGAAGCACTTGTTTAATCATTTTATTGCATAAATTTACTGGTAACTGTCCAAGGTAATCCCTGCGTTTTCACTCTGCTAAAACAGTGTTTGACAACAGCTCTGGATCAAATCCAGACTTAGATTTAACAACAAATAATCCCATGTTTATATGATTTATTCAAAAATAATTTCCATAAATACCATGAAGAAAGAACCAAAGAAGGGAACAGACAAGCAAAACGCGGCACCATAGTCTTAATATTTCTACCATATTTCAGCCAGCGTGGCAGCAGCAGGATTTAATTCTCAGACTCCCTGGGTCTATCACCAAGTGCCCCACCACCATTTTACTGCAAACAAGCCAATCCCATGGGTCATACATGGGTCTTTTAATCAGCGGGACAGACGCAGACTGAATAAACTGCAGTCTCCACACACACCCCAACAGAAATAACAGATTAATCTTGTTAAATCAGTCAAGCTAAAGAACCCCACACTAACGTGAACACTCACCCCAGAGGTGGCGCCGCCCTGCTGTCCATCTGTCCATCCAGCGCCGCCTTGTCCTGGTCCAGTTCGTCGATGATGCTGTCGATGCGGCCGATCATGAGGTTGACCCTTCGGGAAAGGCGCTTGCTGGCCTTTGACTCCTGCACTTCCGCCTCCTGGCCAGTCTTGGACAGCTCCTTCTTCATCTCCTCCAGGTCCTAGTGTCCCAAGTCAAGCCCATCAGGAATCACAGTCGAAACATTCAGAGGTTCGGCTCAGAGGTAGAGCTCGGGGGCTGGGACTCCTTACCTCGTTGTACTCCTGCACGTCGTCCTTCAGCTCCTCCAGCTCCTCCTTTTCCAGAGTCAGTAGCTTTTTCTGCTCCTTCAGTTTGGTGCAAGCATCACTCAGCATGTCAATCTCCTCTTTGGTGATCTCCTCTCCCTGAACGGGGCAGAACGCCGATAAGTGAGGTGGAGGGCAGGGGCTGTACAGGGCCAGTGACACGAACTGGGGGGGGTAGTGCCACACTACACTGAAATAGGGAAAGCCACAAAATGCAGTGATGACCAAATGAGGCTTCATGAACCATTTGCGATTTTTTTGACCCCACTAGATGGCGCTCTTGGTTTGCATTGGGGCATGCTTTGAGCCCTTTTCTTTTTGAAGAGAGCACCATCTAGTGGGGTCAGAAAATACAGCAAATGGTTCATGAAGCTCCATTTGGCCATCACTAATACGGGGTTGGTGCACAATGCATTAAAAGGAGAGCGCCATTAAATGGTACCTCTGCCACTGCTGAAACAGAGCGTGAGAGGAGAAGAGCATCAATCATCCGTGTAATCTACACAAGTATGCTGCTGAAACCAGGAAACAGCAGCCGAAATGCCAGCATTCAACAACTATGTGCATTCACCAGTTCATAAACTTAGTCCTTTAGCACCACAGATCAGGGTAGAAAGAGGAGCATTGACTCAGTAAACATGATAGTATTCTGCTATTCCTCATCTGCATGGTTCGAATTACGAGGGAGCTAAGGGGAGCGGGGCTCCCCAGAGACGGTCCGGGGCTCCCCAGAGACGGTCCGGGGCTCCCCAGAGATGGAGGGGGAGCTCTAAAAAGCTGTTCAGTTTTATGTTATAGGTTATATTTTATATTTTCCGTACATTAAGGTTCCTGAAATTAAAAAAATAGCATAATAGCATAAATGTCACCGTTGTGTGTATAATTCAAACCCTGCTCATCTGAAGTCCAGAGGTGCCCTCACTGTCACCTGCCTGGAATTGCACTGCAGAAGTCACCCAGATGGGTACAGGTTTCAGTCCTGTAAGAGGCACTGCAGTCTCAGTGGGTAATGATGCAGTAACAAGCTTGAGAAAGACAATCTGCGGTCAGCCCTTAGAAATAAGCTGTATTTTAACTGCATGACTGTAAAGTTAGAGCCAACAGGAAGGCAGTGAACTGAGATACGTTCCCAGCCCTGGTTTAGCCACACCCCCACAGCTTGCCAAGGCATAGCCCCGCCCACCTTACCTTGATGCCCTCAAGAACGGGGGCGGTGTCCTTCAGGGTCTCTGTATGGATGGTGGTGTCCACACTGACCAGCTCTTGATCAGGCTCTCCAGCCACCTGTGCCTTGGCGGCAACAGGCTCCGCCTCCTTCTGTGGAATGAGATACGCCCATCTGAGCCCCGAGCTGCACCATTAAACGTGAGCACGGTGTTTGTGGGGGGGGGGGGGGGCTTGCCTCGGCCAGCCTCTCCCGCTGCTCCTGTTGGATGGCCAGCTCCTCTTGCAGCGTGGTCTCCACTTTGGTCCTGTTGTCCACCTTGGAGAGTTCCACCTCAGCCACCTTCACCTGGGCTTCCTTAGCCTTTCACACACAAACGCACAGTGTCACATGGGATCAAACACATACAACACAATCTCTCGCACACGCACACGCACACGCACCACAACGTCCGGCAGCGTCTGCAGGGTGGTCTTAAGCTGGTCAGCCGGGGACAGAGTGTCCGGTAGGAACATTGCTCTGGACAGCAGCAGCAGTGAGGTGGGGATTTGCTGATCCAGATGCAGCTCCAACCACTAGAGGGAGACAGAGACATTTTAATTGCATACAGACTGCATGCAGTCAACCATTACATCCTCAACATATCCTCAACAGCCACAAAAATAACCAACAAAATTAAAGAGGAGAGTGCATTTTGTGGATCAAACCGTACAAATAAAATTACAATGGTTTGTCCAACGCTATGCGTTTGTCCAATTGCTTTTTTTTCAAACATACATTAAAAAGATAAGAGAAATTGAAAGGGGACTAACTCAGTACAGATTTCTAATAAAGTAATTTAAATACATTACAGCATGAATATTATCTTAAAAAGATCGATTATAATCACTGAAGTACAGGCTATGCAAAGTTCCGTCTACCACATTCCCACAAAGCGTGACTGTCAGTCTGAAAAGTATCTATACGAGTTCAGATCCTGAAACGTGTTAAAGAGGAAACCATCCATTTCTCTCTCAGAGCATCAGAAGGCAATTTTGCAGATGTAGCTTGTGGTTTCTTGCACGCCCACAAAGTGAGGAGGGAAGTCTTTTTAACCTGCCTGCTGAATGTTAAGGCTGGTTCAAACTTCTCCGCACGCACATTAGCGGATGTGTCCGGTCGAACGTTTACGACACGCTTGACGTCACTGTCTGCTTCCGCGGATGATCACCTGCTGCATTCCAAACTTGCGCCCGCACAGCGGTGAACACACAGCTCTGGACACACTGGGCGTGATCAGTTCACTAGTGTTCACTTTAAATACCGTCATGGGTGCTTTTGACAAGCGTCGGGGCACTTTGCAAACCCTACAGGCTATATACAAAGTAATAAAACTCTTACATACATGTAAATGTGTATGTATGCGAGTGCAGACTTGTCTGAACTCCAAAATCAAACTCTAGCCAGCTCACTTTTGTGGTATGTGTGCAGGGAATATCAGAATAATCTTTTATATTATTGTTAAGAGGATTAATTAAAATAGGATCTTATTATTTGATGTTCAAGGTATTGTCTCCACTAATTGCTGCTGAGTAATTTATGCTAACAATTTTTCTAGAAAACAAAAAATATCATGTTCTAAAAACATTCCATCTACTATCATCTGCCCCAAAATCAGGGATGGGCAGTCTGACCCAGAAAGGGCCGCTGAGTTTGTGGGTTAGATTACTAATTAGAGGACTGATTGGCTGAAGAGTCGTCACACCTGGGTTTGAACAGCCGACCTAAAAGTTATCCCAAAAACCTGCACACACACCGGCCCTTTGCGGATAAGATTGGCCACCGCTGACCTAAAGAGAAAAATGACGTATGAAGAACCTTGTCAGTAGTATCATAAAATTTGTATTAAAAAATCTCAATAAAGATAAATCTTACCACAGAAATTAATGTAAATCAAGAGCTAAGGGACAGTTATCCTGTGCTGATGTACAGCTCTGTATAAATGGCATGGAAATAAAGCCCCACGACTTAAATACAAAAGGTATTTTCAATGGCTGGCAGTTACTTCTGCTGCTGAATCAGTTTCTGGGTTAACGCAGCCGCCGTGAGAATGACGGTAAGTCAAAGTCTGAAACTACGGGCGGTGGCGCTGACAGCCTGACCTTTGACCCCACCTGCCACGTCACGCCCCGTGTGACAGAGGCGCCTGATTTACCTGTCTGAGCTGATCGCGCAGCCTCTGCTCGGTGACACCCAGTGCCCGCATGCCTCGCACCCGACACGCTGCCTGCAGCTCGCTGACATTCAGGCTGTCCACGCCTTCCTCGGCGATCAGCTGAAGGTGGGAGATGACAGTCGCGCATATGAGACACTCAGAACGCTCTGGCTGGAATTCGGCGACGGTCGGGTCGGCGGCTCGGCGGGCCAGACCTTGTCGTCGGTGCGGATGGCGCGCAGCTTCATGATCAGTTGGAACCGCAGGAAGTTGTTGGTGCCGATGGATTGCAGCTCCAGCAGTCGGCACAGGGCCACCAGCTGGGGCCGCGTCAGGTTGTCCAGTGTCAGCTCATCCTCAAACAGCTTGGAGAAGCGAATGATCTCCTCATTGCTTGGCCTCTCCCCGGAATCCCGGATCTATGAGGAAGATGGTGACTTCTCGCTCAGCGCCTGACACGGGGACACCTCGAGCGCAGACCCCAACGAGAACAACGGCACGGATACAGGAACGTTCTTCTCAGGTAGAAAACCATAACTATTCACTCTACTAAGACAACACATGCTCAACAAATGGTTGTTGATGTGCGTCCACATGAGAAGATGAATGTCGCCGAAGGGTAGATTACATACAAACGCGTCAGGCAGCTAGCAGATACAGAATTGCTTCTCCTTAAAGCAGACATATGGTTTAGGACATATGGCTTACATATGCATGATCTGCTGTCTCGTGGTTCTTGCCAATTCACACAAAATATACATATAGTCATAACCAGGATAGGATTCAGTATGAATCCCAGTACATATGTAACATACACAGGTCTCCAACACTGAGCACACACAGTATTTATAATGGGGCTCACTCCATCATCTCCAAAAACTACAATGAATCAAGTTCTGTGGTAACACAACATAAAGGAAGACAAGGCAGACTGTCCCAGGAAGTGTTTACTCTGCCGGAAGCTGCTTACAGAAGGAGCCAGCAAATAGATTCTCACTGGGAACGGTGGTCAGGAACCTGACTAACGGGCATTACCTTCTGGAAGAAAGTAGAGAACTCCTTAGTCACGTTGTCTTTAGCGGCTTTGTTGCGCAGGGCGATCTCCTCCACTGTGTCCTGGAGAAACTTGGCCATCTCCAGCTTAACCCTCAGCTCCTTCTTCAGTCTTTCCTCCTGTAGCGAACACACATGGCACTTAGCTATACACCACATTTAACACTTGACACACTGCAGCTTAGGCCCTGCACCTAATGCTTTAGCACTCAGCACACTGCGCTCTAGGACTAGCGCTTTAGCGCTCGCTATGCTGTGGGCCTAAGGCTAGCGCTTTAGCACTCACTATGCGGTACGCTGGGGCTAGCGCTTTAGCACTCAGTATGCGGTAAGCTGGGGCTAGCGCTTTAGCACTCACTATGCGGTACGCTGGGGCTAGCACTTTAGCATTCAGCTACCCCATACTACGTTATGGGTCTGGGGTTAGAACTTCAGCACTTGCTATACTGTGCCCTTGGGCTAACGCTTATTTAGCACACAATGACCTGGGGCTAGCGCTACGCTGTGGTCCAGGACTAGCACTTTAGCACTCTGCATGCTGTTCCCTGGGACTAGCACTTTAGCACTCTGCATGCTGTTCCCTGGGACTAGCACTTTAGCACTCTGCATGCTGTTCCCTGGGACTAGCACTTTAGCACGCGTTACACTGAGGGTTTGGGGCAATAGCTTTTGTGCTGGCTATGCTGTGCCCTGGCGTTAGCGCTTTAATACTTGCTACACTGTGGGTCCAGGCTAGCACTTGAGCACTTTGCACACTGTTCCATGGGACTAGCGTCTTAGCATGCGTTACACTGTGTGTTTGGGGCGAGAGCTTTAGCGCTCACTATGCTGTGCCCTGGGGCTAACGCTTTAGTACTTGCCACATTGTAGGCCTGAGCCTTGCAGTTTAGCACTTGTCATGCTATTTCATGGGGTTACCATTTTAGCGCTTGGCACATAGTGACCTGGGATTGGCGGTTTAGTACTTAGCACGCTGTGCCCTGGGGCTAACAATACACTCACTACACTGTGGTCTGGGGTTAGCGCTTTAGCACTCACTATACTATGTGTTCAGGGATAAAACCATTCCTACCTTCTTGGACTGTGTCTCGAAGGTGGAAGGCAGCATGTTAGGGAAGAGCTTCAGGGCCACAGGAAGTAGAAACTCCATGAAGGGCACAATGATGAAGACCAGGAAGGGCAGGAGCCGGAACACATCCGCACAGGTACGCAAGAACTAAACAAGAGCAGAAAGGTACAATAGCTTCAGCTAATAATCATATTTAAATCATCTTGTTCAGTGAGGAATGGAAGAATTTGGCATATAAAAATCATCATCTTCAACTACAAGCCAATCCATCTTCTAATCTCTTATCCTGCTAGGAATTGTCCCGTGGACAGAGATGCGATCAGAAGAAAAGCCTGCAAATGCAGAAACTCCCAGCCTCTTACCTCATGACTATCAGGTTGACAGGCACAGACTGCAGGTCCTGTTCATTCCTGAGGGACCACAGGTAGTTCTATATATTTATTCCACCCAGCACGAGCAGAGAAGACCAAACTGAATGATTATTTACTGAGCCTTAGCAGGTGTGCTGGCCATAGGACAGAATGAATATCCACCACAGGCAGGGGTCTGACCAATGGGAAGCCATGACTTACATCCAGACTGACCTCACAGAGAACCCCCTAACGCTAGTGCTAACAGCTAAGGGGCCACCGGATTGGCCGCCTTCCACATCCCCTGAGTTCTGACAGGCATGGGGGTAGGTAACAGAGGATTATGTGGGGGTAGGTAATCCTGAAGACACCCAGAGAGGAACACGTTCATAGGTTGGGGGGGGGGGGGTGAAAGGTGGTGTTTAACCCCTCCCCTGTCCACCGGGGACAAAGCTTGGCCTGTCGACCTGAGAAAGAGCTTTTGTCCTCCATCCATTGGCATGGAGATGGGTCCTGCGAGCTCCGGCTCCATGAGGAGCAGAGTGTGGGCCAGGCACACAAACACCCTCTTAAAGGCACAGCGTCGGCTCTGGCTCGTCACAGGCGAACACAGAGAGTCTGAACAGCCCGTACAAAAGGAACGACCGAGGGGGTTCGAATAGGTCCGAGTGGGCAGTGTGTAGTTCAGCAGGTCAGGAATTTCTGCCTATGTCCAGAACGTTGTGAGATTGAATCCTGGAGCCAACAGAACAATCATATCATTGAACCCTAAAGAAAGACCCTTTACCCCAACTGTTTCAGGGGCGTCGAACACCGGTCATCCCTTTGCTATAACCCAAAAACAAATAGCAAGTTGATAAATACAAAAACTACCCAATTTCCCAACAGGTATGAATAAAGTATACATATACACAGTATTGTTCAGTCAGAAATAAACTACAGTTTGAGCATTGTCATCACAAAAAAAAAGTGCTGACGAACTACAATTCCCAGTACAGCTGCAGCTGAAAACAGGACGGGAAGTACTGACAAACTACATCTCCCAGCACCTGTGTAAATTACACTTAAAATGGGAAAAAGATGCATCTGCCCATACTAGTCTACAGCTGGATAAATGAGTGTAAAGACATCCCAGACTGAATCAGCACTCTGAAGCACATGGCTCAGACATACCAGGAGTTCATTTTAAAAATTCGCTTTTTCGAGGGCAAACATCATAAACAGCACTGCTGTTTTCTCAAAATGAGTCACATGACAGGGTTTTCAGCCAAGGGGAAAATGCACTGATGCTGGAAGCATCATTAAAACACTAAAAACCAGGAACTGGGGGGTTTTGCAGCCTCTCCGTTAAGAGACAGACGACAGCCCCACCCCCAATTCCCATGAGGAAAGCAAGCTGAAGACTGAAGCCATTATCCTGGTAATCCAATCCTCACCATCTCTGTGTCACCAAAAACCACCAGAGAGTCTGATGTGACTGAACCAAACCCGGTCACGGTCCTCTGCCCTCTGGAAACACACAGTTCATACACGCCAGGGACTGCAGTCAACTGACATTTCAGTCTGCCCCCTCAAACCCAAACCACCGAAGTTTGTGGCAAAAAGGTGCCAAAGTCTGCATTTAGCTTTGAAGTTGTACCACAGACTACGGATGGCAACCCCTTCAAACAGTGCCCCCTAGGTTTCGGGGGAAGTGTGCGGGTGAGTGGGTTACGACCCGGTATCCATGATCAGAAGGTTGCCGGTTTGAATCCCAAGATTCAGACTGGAGCCACCACAGGACGCTTAATGCCCATCTCCAAGGGCGCTGCCTGCTGGCAGACCCAGTGCCACCCCCAAGCTTGTTCTCACATGATTATGCGTCTGTGTGTCTTATAGAAAGCAGGACGGCAAAAAAAAAAAGAGTAATAATAAAGTTTCTGTTCCTATTCCATTCCGCACTCCGGAGCGAGGGCGGGTTCAGCTCACCTGCCGCCTCTCGCGGCGGGACAGCACGTTCCCGTGGAGAACCCGCCACAGCATGCGCCCGGTGATGGTGGTGTCCACCCACAACAGCCGGAAGCCGTGGTAATAGTGCTTCAGCTCGTCCAGCACGCGCTGGCCCAGGGAGCGCCGAGCCAGCGGGGCCTCGGCCACGGGGCTGTACACCGGACCGCCCTCCTCCAGGGTCTTGTTCTTGTCCTTCAGGGACTTGAGGGACTTCTCCACCTTGGAGTCGTCGCAGAGCCGGGCGCTGCCGTGCCACCATCGCACGGGGACGGAGGCCGCCCACGTCCCCAGGGGGCCGGGAGGGGGACCCGCCACCTGGCCGCAGTACAGCCGCCACGCGCCCGGGGACTGCCGAAAGCTGCCAGGAGACGGGCTGAAGAACAGCGGGGAAAAGGCGCCACTTCTGAGCCCTTCGGTCCTGACGGAGAAGGCACCGGAAGACTCAGCGCCATCTTATACCTCAGCTAGCTTTAAGCCAGCGGTGGCCAGTCTTATCCGCAAAGGGCCGGTGTGTGTGCAGGTTTCTGGGGTAACCTTTAGGTCAGCTGCTCAAACCCAGGTGTGAGGACTCTTCAGCCAATCAGTTCTCCAATTCGTAATCTAATTAGGGAGCTGCAGCGAAAACCCGCACACACAGCGGCCCTTTCTGGATAAGATTGGCCACCCCTGTTTAAGCATACATAACTATTAGCATTCTGTTAGCATTCTGCTACCACAAGCATGTTTACAACTGTATACAATCATTCCTCTGCTTTACATTTATTCCTTTCCAATAACAATTCAACACATAACTCAGCGAGCCACTCTCCTTGAATGCTTACCTCTGGCTTGTCATTCTGAGAGCTGTGCACTGAAAACAGATCGCATCTGACAGCTGGCCTAGGACAAAGACACCATAACAGATCAATACTTTAAGACAGCTGCTATAAAAGGGGTTAAACGGCCTGACTTGAGAGGGAGGGGTTTCAGGTTGAAATCCCAGCAGGGGGTCGTGCCGAGGCAGTGGGTAGTAACTACTATAAGACAGGCTGTCAGTTTTACATTAATGAATCTAATATTCTGAAAACAAGTCACTTTGAGGAGAAACATCAGCACATCAAATTATCATAAATTTATTATAACAGGTTGATTTGTCGCACTTGGAGAAAGAATGAAGAGGAGCAGAGAAGAGACCTCACACTGTGAAACCTCCACTATTCATCACATATTGGAACAGCATAATAATATTAAACTGCCACTGAAAAATCTCACATTTCAGCTGGTCACCCTTCACTTGCCCTTGGAAATCACCTAGTTTATCCCTGCTTGGCTGTGAGCAGAGGCTGAGTCACAGTAAGTCACACAAGCTCTCAATGTGGACCTGGGGTTCGGACAGGGACAGGAGGTCACAGTCTACAGAAGCAGACAGCCGGCCAATCCGGCGACCCCCACCAGCATGTCACTCAGAGTGAAGCCACAGGAGAACCTGAGAGCGCACTGTCCCCCCCCCAGCGTAGGTGAGCTAAGGTCAGCTGAAGCAAAAATAACATTGATCGACACTCATAAGTGGAAACCCCAGAGCACACGTGAGACAAGACCTCCAGCCTGCCTGACCAGCGCTAATCCCACTCACCGCATCTTCATGCAGTGCCTGTCTGTATGAATGTAATCATGCTTATAGACACATTCACTACAAAGACTCCCCCATAACCAATTTAAATAAATGAGTACATGCATTTCTTTGGAATTTCACTGGTTACTGAGGATTCCAATAAGAGACTGATGCCCAGAAGTATGTAAAGGTATACAGAATGGTCAGTCGGGTAACAATGGCCAGTCGGGTAACAATGGCCAGTCGGGTAACAATGGCCAGTCGGGTAACAATG